AATGCAAAAGTCTTTCCTGTCACCTTTGCTCAATTTAATGCATCCTTGCTAAATAAAAGTTAATTTTTTTTTTTTTTTTCGCAAAATCTAAATATTTGATCTCATACTTTTGAACAGTAATGTACATTAAGGCAAACACAGGTTTGTGCTTTATCATAGTAGCTGCGCTGATAAAACTCACCCTGCCATCCTTATCCACGCCTGCGATCTGTCCTGTGGCGATACGGATCTTATCCGGGTGAACAGCAAGACTAGAAGAGAAACAGACATTCAGAGAGAGCAGAACATTCACCGATGTCCTCCTGAGGTGAATATGACTTTGTTTGTGATCATTAATATGTCATCAGGCAAATAAGCAACAAATAAGGATTTCCACTGGCCTGTCCATATACTGATGTCTAGAGACCAGTATGAATTCCATTATATACATATTTTAGACAATATTTGGCAACACTTTAGATTAGGAAACACTATTCACTATTAACTAGTTGCTTATTAGCATACACATTCCTAGCATTTTGCTGTTTATTAGTACTTAAAAAGTACATATTAATGCCTTATCCATGACTATAGGCTATTCTAGATCCCTTGCCTTACCCAATACCTAAATCTAAAGTGTTACCCAATATTCACAAGGCCACAGGAACAGGTATGCTCAGCAACATCACTGCTAACAATGCTCACTGTTAAGTTTTTTTTTTTTTTGTACACCACATCAGCTCATTTGTTTAGATCAGGGCCCACAGAAGACATTTTCCTGTCATTTCCATCCTGTGACTACACAGCCTCAGGAAGACAAAACTAAACGTGAATTCACAATGACAGCCATTCAGCAAGAAAAACTGCAACATCTTTCAATGAAATTTTCAGTGAGAATTGGTTATTTAATCACCGTCAGTGACAAAGTCCCATATGACGAATGATAAGACCAATAGATAGCTGCATGGCCCTAATAACACGATATGTGTTTTGAGTCTCACCATTTGACACAGTCAGTGTGTCCTAAATAGTGCCGCTGTGTCCTCTCCTCATAGTTGAAGAGCACAACCACCGAGGCGATGAAATATACGATCTCCCCGGTAGGTAGCAAGTACACATTTGCACGGCAGTCACGTCCCCTGTAGCCATATCTGCACGTCTGAGTCAAGGAGGATACAGGGAATACAACAATATTCCAAAAACCAAAAAATGTATGTTATACTTGTCCATCACAATGATTTAATGTATGTGAAATTAATTCACAGAATGGTGTATTTTCCCAGCAAATACTGGAAAACAAAACAAAACAAAACTAAACTAAATTAAACAAATTAAAATTAAATTAAAATTAAAATGAAATTAAATGAAATTAAATGAAATAAAATTGAAATAAAATTTAATAAAATAAAATAAAATAAAATAAAACTAAATAAAATAAAATAAAATAAAACTAAACTAAACTAAACAAATGAAATGAAATGAAATGAAATGAAATAAAATTTCTTGCCATAAAAGTTCTAATCCCTTTTAAAATAAAATTTTCACATTATTTTTTAATGCATTTTTTATGTAATATCATGCTATGATTTGACTTTTATGTCTTTACTTTGCCTATGTAAAGCATTTTAAATCACCATTGTAAAATGCAATACATTCAAAGCATGCTAGAAAGGATACACCCACTCCAGTTTGAGTCTCTCTGGGGGAAGTTCGGTCCGGACATCGTCGTAATTCTCCACGTCCGATGGGATGAACATCGTGATGGGTCGTCCTCGCATGAACATTTTAATATATTCTCCCTCTGTGGAGAAATTTGATGAAAGAAATATATTCTAACAAAATACTAGAAAATAGTAACTAATTATTAAGAATCAATAATTATAAGCAATTAGTAACTACTGCGAATGAAACGTATATCTCAAACAAAACCCATGTTTGTTTGTGTGAAGTTTATCTTGAATTTAAAAAGCAAGTTATCTGAAATTTGGTAGTGAACATGGTCTTTCAGAACAGACTGCGTGAGTTTGTTCATTTTAGCAACATTTAACATACACATAGCATATATTTAGCTTTTAGCATTGCTCCTTCTTACTTAAAGTTTTTTAAATACTATACATTTCTAAAACATCTCTAAATGAAGCTCTTCGATGGAGTTAGTGAGGCTCATGCTTAGAACTCCTTCATCAACCCAAGCAAAACAAAAGTGAAGCTTTGAGCGGCGTGCAGAAGGACCAGAGCAATGACAATGCCCAAATTTAACTGTGATTTAATAGAAAAGAAAGGTTGAAACATCAAGTTGATGAAAAAAATGGACAGAGTGAGGCAGAAAAAAAAAAATTTTTCTCTGGTCTCTAGAAACATTTTGCACAGTAGCAGATCTTATAATAGCATCACATAATTCTATAAAGTATTTAACACTGAACAAGACATCTGACCACAGATAACCTTTAAAAACAGCTTAGTTGGCCGAGAATCTCTAGAACATTCCTCACTGACACTGATATCCTTAAAGGGATAGTTCAGCCAAAAATGAAAATTCTGTCATCGTTTACTCATGCTCATGTTGTTCCAAACCGGAAAGAATTTTAGAAATGTCTGTGTGCATGTTTTATTTTTTTTTATAATAATAATACAATATTTATGTTTCACAGCAGAAAGTAAGTCATTAGGTTTGGGATGAAATGAGAGTAAATGATTGAATTTTCATTTTTGGGTGAACTATCACAGTACATGTTTACTGAATTAGTATATATACACAGGTGAATCTGACAAAACATGTCTAGGCCACATTTTACAAAAAAAATTAATAAAATGTATATTATTTATTAATAAATATATTAATTAATACAATAAAATAAATCTTTTGCATTTTGTCATCATTTCAATGGATTTTAAGTACATTTTTTTTATATATAAATCAGTGCAACAAATACTTTTATTTTACAATAAATAAAATATTATTCCCCACATACTCTACAGTCATGAGAATGAGACGTTTTAGCATTAAGGTAAAAGAGCTTAGCTGTCATAAAAATAATGTTACAATGGATAATAAATGTGAATTTCTTTTTACAAAATGCACTTTCTTGTTTCTTTCTCTTTCTTTAATTTTGCAGTGAAATATGAGCTAGACATGTTCTTGAAAGCTTTAGTGAGATTCAGCCGTAAAGCTGTTCTGCTATCTTTATTTTAGGACAAACACATTCCTCTGCTAATGAGTTACTGGTGGTGAATCTACAGTAAGTCATCGATTTAGAACAGTGAGAAGAAATGAAGAAGCGAGATGCACGTTTATCGTCTAGCCTGTAAGCTGGGAGGAAATCCACTTACTCTTGATTCCTCCAGAAATGTTATTTAAGATTTTGAGGAACAAGAGCGGCAGAGAGACAGAAGAAGAGAGGAAGAAGTGACTGAACATTGATCTTTCAGATCGATCAACAAGTTAAGAGCGGGTAATTCAAGCGGGATTAGTGCCAGAAACGCTTATAACCAGCCTGAAGCGGGTAAGGGAGGGGTAAAAAACTTTTTTGGCGGTTTTCGGGCCCTGTAGAGAGGAAGACCTTACCTTGACTGTTTTTTTCACGGGTTGACATTTTAGCTGGGTATGGGACAGAAATAATAATCTCTCAAAACCAAACACAGAATGACAGACAAGGAACAGTTTTATTGATGCATGGTAAGAGAGGCCTGTCAACAGTTTTTAAGATGAGCGTGATCATTAGAAAAGTCTGGAAGAACTAACGAGGAACCACAAGACACAGGAATGCAGTTTGTGTGCGTCTTTGCCAAGAATAAAACCACTCGAGAGATGCTCACACCTGTACTGCTCTCGGCCCAGGGCTAAATCCAGATTCGGGATAAGGTCGTTCCAGGACACACTTAGCCTGTGAGCACTGGCATGAGCCCCGTGCTAACAGTATTTTTCAGTGTCACCGCTAATCTTGCCCTGGGACAAAGCCAAGTACTAAGAGGTGGCATCATGCTACTGTAGCTTTCGTTTACACTTATGAAATGCATGTTGGCTACAGGGCACAACTTAAATGTTTTTTACAGATGTTACTGTGCAAATGACATGTAAATGAGAATTTGTATTGATCTAAAGTGCACAGAAGGTCTGCACGAGGCAGCAGTTTCACTTGAACCACTGTGATACAGGAAATGAGAGGAGCACATGAGGAAAAAATGAAGGTGAAACATAATAGATCACGTAAAGGCAAAATGAGACTTTACCTTGGCTGATGACTGGATCTCTGTGTCTAAAGAGGAAATGGGACAAAAACACGAGACAAAAAAGTGAGTTCCAAAAATGGCATGTTTATTCAACTACAGGAATGTCTTAAAGGAACCGTTACAAAATGAAAATTCATTTTATTGTCATCATTTGCTCACTCTCATCATGTTTCCAAATCATATGACTTTCTTTTTTCCACAGAACACAAAAAGAGAATCTCTGACATGCTTTTTCCCATACAATGACAGTGAGCGGGAATTCAACAAAATCTCAGAACACTTACAATAAGGTCCCTAATATTAACTAAAAATAAAAAAAATAATACCTTTGTCGCGGTATTTATTAAGCTTTGTTATCACTAGTTAAGTACAATTATTCATTTTTATCATTAATTTATTCATTAATCACTGTTCGTTCATGTTAGTCCAAGAAACAATGTAGAACTTTTGATTTTAATAATTTATTAGTAAATGCTGCAATTAACATTAACTAGGATTAATAAATGATTTCGAAGTATATTTCATTGCTAGTTTATGTTAACTAATGCAGTTAAGTAATATTAACAACTGGAACTATTGTAAAGTGTTACCCAAAATCACATAAAAGCACCACGGATGCACCATATCATCAGTTTTATGTTATGGCAAGAGGAATAAGTTAATGACCACACATTATTGTCGGAAGAATTGGAATATAGCGCACAAGTGGTATAGCCCAATTTATGGTACTTTTATGTTGCTTTTATGTTTGTTTTTTTGGGAACGTGTCCATCCCCTTTCATTATGTGTCCATCCCCGAAGTCATACAGGTTTACAACAACATTAGGGTGCATGAAGACTTTTTCTTCAGCACTTTTAAGCAAGAGGCAAGGGTCATAAACAACTTAAGATTGTTTGCAATAACACATGGATCTGGACTTTTTTTTGCATAGCATGTGCTGAAATTGAATGAATTTTATGGAATGAATTCAAATTAAGGTAAAATGTGCTGAACAGCAAGAATTACACTAAATATTGGTAGATAAAAGCATAATCATATTACAAAAAAATAAATGAAACATGGAATGCAACGAGTATTGGTGTAACTTCATAAATCATGTGAGCTCCAGTTCATGGGAAATCTGAGTTTCTTGGAATTTTCTTGGAAGGTCAAGAAAAATGACTTTAAAAGCCTGAAGCACTGTTTCAAAAACACTTCCGTCAATCTGATTTTTTTGTACTTTAGTTGGATGACTTATATGAGGACTCGAGTCTACAGCAAAGGGGACAGAAGGAACCTAACACTTACTTCTCTGCATTCTTCACCACTTTGGACAGCAGTTTGGAGGTGGAGGCTGCTTTCACCAGCTTATTCCTGCTCTCCTCTCCGCTGTCCCACGTGCTACTCTGAGAACGCTCCATTCCTCCACGCTTCGCACTGCTACCCCTGCTGCACAAGAAAAAAACATGTAAGGATTTCATTCGAAAAGGAAGCGATGGCAGAAAAGCTGAAAAACGAGTCGAGGGGAGACGTTAAAAATTTAGAGGAGAGGTATTGTGAGCTTAGAGGAGAACAATCCATTCAATCGAAATAGATCTACATAAACCAACCAAAATGGCTCACATGTTTGTTCAGACAATTTTACATAGGATGGTCTGCAAAGTCTAGATGCTAACTCTATCCAGGTCCTCCAAACTCAAATAACCACTCCTCCTCTTTGGTTAATTTCAAAGTCAAAAATGCATCCCTCAAGTAAAAGATCATGCATATGCCAAAGCACAATCCACTCGATGGTTAGTACACGCAGACGAGCTGAAAAACTTGAAACCCAGTCCTGTGGTAAATTGCATGAGATTGTTCGGGAAAAAGACGCCACACAGCAAAGCTAAAGGAAAGTAGAGAAGTAAACACATCAGAGGTTTAGAAAGGGAAAACAGGAGCGTTATCCTCATGCGAAGCTGTGTACAAGAAAAAAAAAAAATGTTAACAGTCCAAAAACAAACCAGTTTTCTGGACCACCCCTTCTACACCGACTCAATTTCCAATTCATTCACTATGGGAGCTAAAAATTAGACTTTTTTGACAGAAAAGTGGGAAGTGCAACAAAAATGTTGGGAAAATCTGACCTTTATGCAAAAAATTAATTTTGGGGCTTGAACCAACAAACTTCTGGCTAGCAGCCCTAAACTGAGCAGAGTCTATAGACCTAAGCGGAGAATATAGAGGTTAAGGCAGGGGAGCATGGGAAGAAATTTTGGTAGATCCAGAAACTCAAAGATGTACAAACACATTAAAGCTCAAAGTATACATAGGTTTTTATGTGTACATTGCGCAATATAAATTTCATCAGCTAGAATTTTCTATCTGTGGGTATTCGAACTTCATAAACGAGTATGAAGACATTTTTATCGGTCATAACTTTTGTAGAGAAATGGCGCAGACATTGGACGCGGATGAAACTTCCTAGAGCGCAAGTTTTGAGCGTCTGTGTTCTCACACGCTATCAAATGATGTATACTTTGAAAGGCTGTGGGTTCGGTTGTACGTATACGCAAAGTGTTCACGCTAAAACTGAAGTATACTTTGGGCTTAAGGGCATTAAATAGGTCAGAGCTGTAGCAAAGTACCTCCATCCTCACCAAACATGGGAGTAAGAGAGGAAAGGGAACGGATAGTACTCCGGGGCAGAGCGGACACACTTCCACATGTGAAAAACTGGCTTGAGTTCTACATATGGGGCCACTTGTGAGGTATACAGGTCTAACGATGTCCATCCCTATATTTACTGCACTTTCTATTACTAAGAGTTCTTCTTTTCAAGAAAATCACATAGACATCACATGAGGCATCACAGTATTGACAACTGTACATTTCTCAAAACAATCTCTGCAAGATTCCTAAAACACATTGTGCTAACAACAACAACCACAAATTTTGCATCTCTGATGCTAATTACCTATAAGAAAGCTCAAGTCTTTGCTATCGTCATCGATTGCAGAGGCTTTTCTAAGTAATGCGACTGTGGCCAAATCCTGGCTAATAATCTGCTTGTTGCATCGTCCAACAAGCATGGATCAGGCCGTGAAATGACATTAGGGAGACAGCTAATTGTTTTTCCAGTTCTCTTTAGCTAATTGGATGGGGCAGCTTGCAGAGTCGATATGAATAACCCAGCAGGCAGGCTCTTGGGTTATTAAGTACAGACTAGAAGGTTTGCTAATGGTGTTGAAGCATGGCTGGGCTAATGTGTTAGCCTGATTACTCTGCGGATTATTAAGCAAGAACCAAGAGTTTGAGCACTGAGAGGACATCACATCTGCTTTCCATTACTTTCCTCTTCTGGGTGGACCGCTCAGAGCGATCCAGAGCATAACACATTCTGACCTACACTGTCAGCCTGATCCTAGCAGGACATTTAGCATAGAATGAGGGACAAGTACTGATAAATGATGAGAAAGCAATAATTTGTTTAGATATAATTCATTTAAGAGCCTGGAAATGAGGTTTTGTAATGAGTACTGATGGATGCGGTTTCTTTATGTCTTAGTGACTTACATGTGGCTCCTTCATTTGAACAGCAATGCATACTATGCTCTGGAAGTAAAAACTCTATCTTTTTTTTCACAATAAAATCCATTGCATCCACTCTTTAAAAAAATGATGAATACTTGCAAATGATGCAAGTGAATTGTTCTCCCTACATTATAAAGTTACTTATATATTTCTATATATCTGAATATTTAAAATGTGTGTGTGTTCCATTTGTTTTTAATTGTAATATTTCACAATGCTACTGTTTTTTAAATATTTTAAATAAATAAATTCGGTATTTATAATTATTTATTTATTTATTTGGTGAGCATTAGATACTTATTTTAAAAACATTAAATATATTGACTTACCACACACTTTTTAATGATAGTGTTTAGAATTAAAACATACATTTAGATATTTTATATTGTTTTTATACTCACAATACTTGTTAATGAGAAGTGAATCATTTTATTAATTATTTTGTACTGCATCTTTGTTTTTTATATTATTACAACATTTGCAATGCTGTATTAAATTAATTGAATAAAATATATTAATTTATGGGAGTATTTCATTCACCATAAAGAACTGTATTTTTCTTCTTCAAATCAAATCAAATGTTTTAATTAGTGCTGCCAAACGATTAATCGCGATTAATCGCATCCAAAATAAAAGTTTTTGTTTACATAATATATGTGCGTATACTGTGTATATTTATTATGTATATATAAATACACACACATACAGTATGTATTTTGAAAATATTTCCATGTATATATTTATATTCATATAATTGCTGTTATATATAAATATTTTAAATGTATAAACTTAACATTTTTCTTAAATATATACACGCATGTGTGTGTGTTTATATATATACATAATAAATATACACAGTACACACACATATATTATGTAAACAAAATCTTTTATTTTGGATGCGATTAATCGCGATTAATCGTTAATGATAGTGTTTAGAATTAAAACATACATTTAGATATTTTATATTGTTTTTATACTCACAATACTTGTTAATGAGAAGTGAATCATTTTATTAATTATTTTGTACTGCATCTTTGTTTTTTATATTATTACAACATTTGCAATGCTGTATTAAATTAATTGAATAAAATATATTAATTTATGGGAGTATTTCATTCACCATAAAGAACTGTATTTTTCTTCTTCAAATCAAATCAAATGTTTTAATTAGTGCTGCCAAACGATTAATCGCGATTAATCGTTTGACAGCACTAGTTTTAATATTGTGATTCATCTTGGTTTGGTCAAAGATGTTTAGCTAATCATTTTTCTAAATCCCTATGGAGAAAATGAATGAGAAAAATACTTCCGGAACCAAGGCAGATAAAAAGCGGCCAGTCACTGTTGCGCTCTATTGATCTTGATATTGATTGAGGAAGCATGTCAGCCCTGCCCCTTGGCTTTACGTCAATAGGTTGCGAAACCACAGCAAGCAGATTGCCAAACGCTGCTCGAGCACTGCCAGAAATTGCATGGCTGTTGGGAGGAACCTTTTGGCCGGGGTTGACCCTTTGTTCTCCGAAAGCTGTCTTTGGGGCTGTTGGGGATGAGGGGACGGGGGGTTGCTGGAAGGGGACGGTGCCTGAGGGGTGCTGGGCGCTGAGGGGGTTTTATCGTTAGCCTGTGGTGGCTCCTCTTTCTCCTTGATCCCCTCCATCGGAGGCTTGTCTTTTTTCCGCTCGACACCACTGCAAAAACAACATGCAGGTCAACAGAGGAAGATCCCGATACACATGAAAAGATGAGGAGAGCTGAGCATCTCAACACTGAGGTGAAACACTCACAGACTTTCAGATGAATATATTTCTTCAGGCTGAAAGAACATCACATATTAAACAGAGAACACCTGAATGCACCAACATTTGAATACGTCAGCGTAAGAGGAGTCGTCAATATTTTTGACAGCATTTTTCCAGACGACTGTACATTTTAAAAGCGTGTCTGTTAAAAATTCATTAAGAGTATCCTAGCACAGTGTTTCCCAAACCAGTCATGGAGGTTTGCCACCACAACTCATTGTGATTATCTCCCTAATCTAACACACCTGCTTCAAATCATCAGCTCATTAGTGGAGAGCTGAAATGGGTCAGAGAAGGGAGACATCCAAAATGTGTAGAGGAGGCTTTGAGATCATTTGCACATTTCAGTTGTGTGTGCATTACCTCTTGGCGGCGGAGGAGAGTGTCTCTTTCTTGGATACGGACACTGTGGAACTATCTCTGTGAGATTTGCGGCCGCTGGAACTGCCATTGGCAATACAGGACATTGAATAAGCCTCTCGCAGCGGGGTCTGACCTGCAGGAGACACATTGCACATCGGTTTTATTCCCTCTTATATCTTAAAACAATGACTCAAATCTCAGCACCGCAACAAATTTACTGCACAGACCTTCTATTAGGCTTCCCACACCCTTTGACTTTTAAATTTCCATGAATTTTCCAATTGGATAAGCTTTTTTTATATTAAAGGGGAGGCCTAATGCTGTTTCATGCATTTTGACTTAATTACACTGCTAAAGAGTTGGATTCTCATGCTAAATATAGTCAAAGTTTCAAGAAATGAGTTGGGCGTATAACAGTTTTTCTATGCCAAATACACTCCTTCACAAACAATGAACAACTTATAAATACTGTAAAACATGTCGTTCTTTAACATGCATTAGCTCATGTTAAATGTATGGAAGCTTGTTTATGCCACAGGATAAAAAAAAAATGAAAACGGTAATTGCAACTTTTTAACTGTGACTTTTTCTCAGAATGGTGAGAATAAAAAGTCGGAATTGTGAGATTAAAAAGTTGCAAATACCTTTTTTTTATTTCATGGCAGAAACAAAACAAACAAATGAAAACACAGAACTTAGTGACTCAGAATTCAGAGGAAAGAAGTCACAATTATTATTATTATTTTAATTATGTGGTGGAAACGTGCTTCCATATAAATGGGAGCTTTTTGTAAAATGTTACCAAATTCATGTACAGAATATTGTATGAATATTCATAAGACATTATGAATATTGTAATGCTGAACATAACTATATAAGATTCTAAATACATTATATATATAATTCTACAGAATATATAGAATTTAAATATTAAATATAAGATTTGAATTCAACAGAGACATTTCCAGACTCTTCTGTGACTTCAGATTCTATTGATTTCTATGACTTTTGAATGCTTGGAAGTCATAAAATTGAACATGATCAACAGTCAGGAAATAGAGAATGACAATATAGACTGTAAAGAGTCTGGCTTAAATAAAGCAGCAATCCAGATATGCTAACTGGATTAGTCAACTGATTTACTAGTCCATTTTAATTACAGTACCACTGACATAAAAATACTTTTTTTTTTAATCCAGTCCAATGACATTCATTCTGTATATTGTATTAAGTATGGGTCACCATAGCAACATCATAAAGCGTTTTCTACACTGATAATTATAAGAATTCAATTCACGTTTATTTGTATAGCGCTTTTCACGATACAAATCATTGCAAAACAGCTTTACAGAAAATTCAAGTTTCTACATTATATTTAGTAGTAGCTTATCAGTGGTGACTATGTCAAGTTGATGTCCATATGGCAGAAATGTACGGTAAAAATCATGCGGTTAGTTAATGTCATGTAATCAAACAGACGGTGAACATTATTAACAGTAATGATTATATGTTGCGATCAAACTTATAGCAAAATTGGGTAGTTTGTGTGTTGTTTCAGGGTTGGCATCATCTGAGGTAGGGCTGGGTGATATGGCCAAAAAAATATTACAAATCTTTTTTTTTTCATATCAGTCTATATCGATATATATATAGAAGAAATGTTTTCTTGAGCAGCAAATCAGCATATCAGAATGATTTCTGAAGGATCATGTGACACCGAAGCCTGGAGTAATGATGCTGAAAATTCAGCTTTGCATCACAGAAATAAATTACATTTTAAAATATATTCAAATAGAAAATGGCTTTTTTAAATTGTAATAATATTTCACTGTTTTAACTCTATTTTTTGTTTAATGTAGCAGCCTTGGTGAGCAAAAGAGACTTCTTTCAACATATAAAAACATAAAATATCTTACCAATCCCAAACCTTTGATTGGTGTATATAAAAATGTATGTAATATGTATATATAGTGAAGACCAGACCAGAATGAAAAGCTGTGATTGATTTTCTATTTTAATTAAATGAGAACGAATAAACAACAGAAGCAGTCTCAGATGTCTGGATCCTAGCGGAGACACACTGACTCGTGTTAAACTAGCATTTTGGATTTTACAGAACAGACTGAGGTGTCCAGTTGAGCTTGGTGTTCTCACGCTAAACGTCAGTGCCATGATTGCAATGGTTTGCATCAGCCATGCTATTTAAAACTCTCTCTGAATGGCCTGCATGTGGAAATGTCTGATTTAGGTTCTTGGCTGCTCACCGGTCGCTTCACTTTGACCCCTTTGCTTTGTGAGAGAGGCGGACGCCTGTGCAGGCCTTGCGTGGTGGATTCGATTAATTGTTTTTCTCCCCGGGGCACGCTTACGCGTGTGTATATTATCTTAGGAGGCGGTGATGCGATGTCAGTACCACATGGCTCTGTTTCACCCTCCATTAGCCCACAACAAAAACACAGTGTGTGGCTGACCTCAGCAAACCTTTCTCTATAGTGTTCCAGATAAAACACCGCAAAAAAAACAAAACAACCACAGGTCACATTCATCTAGAATTTCCCTTGCGCATGTTTCTTTTTAAATTTAATTTGAATGTTTAGAAATATTTAGTGTGCATTAATGATCTAAGACATTAATGATCGTTGTTTGTTGATTTTCAAATATAAAACTTATTGAAATGTTTTCAGTGTGTGTATCAGTTCTTTTTGAACATGTTCATCTAATTTTAACAAAACCGTGATAATATTGATAATCGTGATAACTTTGGTCACTATAATCGTGATATGAAATTTTCATACCGTTACATCCCTAATCTAGTTCTAGGTTTATTCTTAAATTAAAACAGTTCCAGCTCCACGCAGAATCTGCAAGTCTTTGTATATTGTCTTTATTGCTAGGGCTGCAATGAACAATTACTTTGATGATCAGCTGATTCGACATTTATTAGAACTACCAGTATGTTTGCAAATGGACTGTACTGTTTTGCCCATTGAAATAAATAAATAAAACAACTGATTGTCATTCCAGCTTTTGTATTCAACATGTGCTAACTAACAGCAAAGACAAGATCTTTCAAAAATACCACAGATGAAATGCCTAATATGAATTAATGTTAATATTGCAATTTATTGCTAATAATAATCAATACAAATAATATACTACTAATATTCAAATACAGTATTGTTTTAGTTATTATTATTATTAATATTATTATTATTGTTGTTGTTGTTGTTGAATTAATTATTATTCAGTTATACAATATTAGTTTTTAATAAGAACAATGATAATAGCAGTACAAATACTACTAATATACAAATACAGTATTATTATTATTATTTATTATTATTATTATTATTATACCTATTACCAGGATTATTAGTACACACACACACACATACACACAAAGGGAAAAGTGCACTTTCAGGCTCTTAGGAACAGAACTCTGATGCACTGAAAACATTTTGAATTTAAAATGATATTCTGACAAAGTCATATTACATTTTGGCCCCATTACTGCTAGCTGAAAATTAGCCAAAATATTTAATAAACAAACATGCATGGGGTAGGAGAAGTTTCAAACCTTTCGAATTGCAGACGTTGTGATTCTGTGGACGTTTGGCAGTCATTAAGAAATTCTGTTTTTACATGTTTAACAGTGAAAGTCAAACAAACTACACTAGCTTTTATTTTCAACATCATACTGTTATAATTAAGGAAACTTAATCGTTCAGATTTGTGTCTCAGTAATAAGTGACTTTACTGGAAGCTGCCACTGCTGTCACAACAGATCATGCTCTTTGCATCAAAGAAATGAATAATGCGTGTGTTTAGAGCACTGGCTTTCATGGACAGAGACTGAGCATTCAAGCATAAGATGATCTTCTTCCTGTGTACGATACTGTATGGGTGTGTGTGTGTGTGTGTGCGTGTCTAGTCAGTACAGCCGCACAGGAAGTCCTCATGTGACCTCACTCCAACAGGAAACCAAGGAATTATCTGCCTTCCATCAGAAGCCTGTCACTAGCTGTTCGTCACCAAAACCACTGGTATTCTCCATCACTTTCATGCTCAAAATACAGGACAATTTGCTGGATTTACGTATATAGTCACTCTTAATCATATTCAGTGTACTTCATATGATAGAAGACACTCTTAACAGCAATAAAACACCTCAATAACAGCCTGCCTTACTGAACCAGACAGCTTGTGAAAATCAATTCAAACGTATTTCATGATATGCCAAATGCGTCAGATCAGATTAATCACAAAAATAAATCAATCGTTGCATTCGTCTGTAACTGGGAAAAGTAGTTTGTGAGGAACCAGCGCTTCTCTTTTCCTCAGTGAATAGAGCCCTTTCACAGATATTGTCCAGAGAGCAGCTGATTAAGGATAAACTGAGGTTTGGGAGAGGATTTGAGTGGAAAGACTGAGAGTTTGGGGAAAGATACTAGTGTGTGGGGGATTATGGGAAATGAGGGGGAATAGATAGGGGGATTGAATGTTATAGGAGCAGTGAGTCAGCCTTGAAACTCAAATCAGCAGGGTGAGAATGAAAGAGAAATGGAGGAGTAAAAGTGAGAAAAATGGGTCATAGTGGGTGCAGTGAGTAAATATGGGCAGTGGAAAGAAAATGTGGTTCATTCAGGGACTGAAAATGTGAAAAATGAGAACTAGCAACCATCATATTGACACAATGAAAATTAATAAACAGAAAAAAGCATGATGTAAGTGCAAGTCCTAAAAAAAATGCATATTTTGTCCCACAGAAATGCACATTTGAAAGTAAATAATTTATTTTAAATGATAAATTTACTGATATTAATAGCAGTAAGATTAAATGTTAATAAACTCCTACTTTACACACTATTGCTCAAAAGATTTTTAATGTTCTTGAAATAAATTTCTTAAAGGCTGCATTTATTTGATCAAATCTGAAAATTGAAAAAGCAATATTGTAATATATTATTACAATTAAAATAACTTATTCATTTTACTATATTCTGAATAAATGATGGCAAAGCTGAATTTTCAGCACCATTACTCCACTGTTCAGTGTCACATATTTTATCACATTTCTTCTTCTTATCAATGTAAAAAACGGTTTTGCTGATTACAAATGTCGGTCCCACTTTA